ATTTCTAATATCCCTAGTTTTTCTAGTGTTTTGAACATGAAGGGGTGCTATATTTTGTCAAACACTTTCTCTGCATCAATTGATATAATCATATGATTCGTGTCTTTAAGTCTATTGACATGATGAGTTACATTTATTTATTTCCATATGTTAAACCAAACTTGCATCCCTGGAATGAACCCCACTTGATCATGGCACACTATTTTTTAAATATGTTTTTGTGTGCAATTTGTCAGAATTTTATTGAGAAATTTTGCATCAATCTTCATCAGGGATATAGGTCTGAAATTTTCTTTCCTTGATGTGTCTCTGTCTGGTTTTTGTATCAGAATGATACTAGCTTCATAGAATAAGTTTGGAAGGGTTCCTTCCTTTTCTATATAATGGAATAATTTGAGGAGTATTGGTATTGATATTTCTTGTAGGTCTTGTAGAACTCATCTGTGAAATCGTCTGGTCCTGGGCTTTCTTGGTTGGTAGGCTTTTGATAGCATCTTCTATTTCCCTGCTTGAAATTGATCTGTTTAAATTATGTATGTTCTCTTGCCTCAGTTTGGGTTGATCATATATACCTCTAGAAATTTGTCAGTGTCTTTGAGGTTTCCTATTTTATTGGAGTATAAATTTCTATATTATTGGAGTATATTTCCTTTTTCATCACAAATTTTGTAATTTTTTAGTTTTCTCCCTCCTTCTTTTCATTAGAGTGGCCAAGAGTTTGTCAATTTTATTTATTTTTTCAAAGAATCAACTTTTTGTTTTGTCAATTTTTTGAATTGTTTCTTTAATTTCAATTTCATTGATTTCTGCCCTGATATTAATTCTTTCCTGTCCTCTTCTACTTTTGGTGTTGGTTTATTCTTCTTTTTCTAGGGCTTTGGGCTATAATGTCAGGTCATTTATTTGTTGACTTTTTCTTTTTTTTTTTAGTGAATGAACTCCATGCAATGAACTTTCTTCTTAGTACTGCCTTCATAGATTTCCAGAGATTTTGGTAAGTTGTATCAGAATTCTCATTTACCTCTAAGAATGTTTTATCTCCTCCCTGACATCTTCTGTTATCCATTTGTCATTCAATAATGTATTGTTTAGTCTCCAGGTGTTGGAGTAGCTTCTCTTTTTAATTTGATCATTGATTTCTAATTTCATTCCATTATGGTCAGATAGAATGCAGGGTAGTATCTCTATGTTTTTTTTTGTTTGTTTGTTTGTTTGTTTGCTAAGACTTGTTTTGTGGCATCACATAGTTTATTTTGGAGAAGGATCCATATGCTACTGAGAAGAAAGTCTATTTGCTCGTTGATGGATGGGATATTCTATATATGTCTGTTAAGTCCAAATTATTGATTGTGTTATTGAGTTCTATAGTTTCTTTGTTTAGTTTTATTTTGGAAGATCTATAAAGTAGTGAGAGAGGAGTATTAAAGTCACCCAGTATTATTGTGTTGTGACCTATTTGGTTCTTGTATTTGAGAAGGGTTTGTTTGACATACATAGATGCCCCATTGTTCAGGGATAGATATTTATGATTGTTCTGTCTTGTTGATGTATGAATCCCTTAAGCAGTATGAAATGTCCTTCTTTATTCCTTTTCACTAGTTTTGGTTTGAAGTCAAGTTTATCTGAGGATGGAAACCCCTGCTTGTTTATGAGGTCCATGTGAGTGATACACTTATTCCCATCCTTTCACTTTCAGACTGTGGATGTCTTTTCCTGTGAGATGAGTCTCTTGAAAGCAGCATATTCTTGGATCTTTTTTTTCTTAATCCAATCTGTCAGTCTATGGCTTTTAATTGGATGAGGTTAGACCATTCATATTAAAGGTTATTATTGAAATATGATTTGAATTCCTCAACATTTTGGTTTATTTTTGGTTTTTTAACTTAATTTGGTTTCTCCTTTGATTAGCCAGTTCCTCCCTTTGTTGATTTTCATTATTGTTTTTCATTTACTCCTCCTGAAATATTTTCCTGAAAATGCTCTCTAGTGCAGGCTTTCTCACTGTAAAGTCTTTTAACTTTTGTATATCATGAAGGTTTTTATTTCATCCTCAAATCTGAAGCTTAATTTTGCTGGATATAAAATTCTTGGCTGGCAGCTATTTTCTTTCAGAGATTGGTATATGTTGTTCCAGGATCTCCTGGCTTTGAGGGTCTGGGTTGAACAATCTCCTGAGATATGAATTGGTCTCCCCCTATATGTGATCTGATTTCTTTCTCTTGTGACCTTTAAGATTCTATCCTTATTCTATATGCTAGGCATTTTCATTATAATGTGCCTTGGTGTAGATATGTTGTGATTTTGTACATTTGGTGTTCTTTAAGTCTCTTATATTTGATTTTCCAATTTATTCTTCATGTTTGGGAAATTTTATGTTATTATCTCATTGAAGAGATTGTGCATTCCATTGGTTTGAATCTCTGTGCCTTCCTCTATCCCAATAACTCTTATATTTGGTCTTTTGATGCTGTCCTATAATTCTTGGATGTTCTGTTCATGGTTTCTTATCATCTTCACTGTGTGGTCAACTTTATTTTCCAGATTGTATACTCTGTCTTCATTATCTGGCATTCTATCTTCAAAGTGATCTAGTGATGCTTTCTATTGAGTTTTTAAATTTGGTTTATTGTTTTCTTCATTTGAAGGATTTCTGACATTTTTTTTAAGAATTTTTCTTTCTTGAAGTAATCTTTTGCTACCTATTTGCTCCCTTATCTGTTTGTTGGTGTGATCAATTGTTGCCTATATTTGTTCTCTTGTCTCTTTTTTGGAGTGATCAATTTTTGCCTGTATCTGCTCATTTACGTCATTCTTTAATTCACACATCATTTTAATTATGTACATTCTGAACTCCTTCTCTGACATTTCATCAACTGTACTGTCAATGGGTTCTGTTATTGTAGTATCCTGGTTTGTTTGGGGCACTTTCCTCTCTTATTTTTTCATGTTGTCTATGTGTCCTTCTTTCTTGCAGTGCAGATCTGAGGTATTATATTGTCTTCCCTATAATATTCTAGTATCCATGCAAAATTATCTGTACCTCACCTTAAGGGTTGGGCTTCCAGACCCTGCTGGTGTCCCAGGATGGATGCTACTTCAAGTATAGGTGGTGGCAGCAATAGCAAAAGTAACTGGAGATATCAGTGGAAGTGTCTAAAAATGAATGCAACCACTATCAGAGATTGAAATGAAAGGGTGAGCCTTAAACTGGCTTTGGGATGCCTGTTCTGAGATGCAGCTGCTTCTAGGCCCTGTCTGTCCTCCCATGTGGAGGTTACTGAGTGGAGAATGCCATGGCAATGGCTACAGTGTCCCAAGATGGAAGTGGGTTAGGCCTGGAGTGAGGGGCGGTGGACCTTTGTCTACCCTGAGACTGGACTCCCACACAGGTTGGCAGGGGCACTTCTGGGCCCTGGCCCTGGCCTGAGCTCCCATGTGGGTGTACCAAGCCATTCTATATAAGTGAATTGAGCATCCACAGATATTGGTGTCCACAGAGTGAGGGGATGATTCTGGAATCACTACTTTGTAGATACCCAGGAACAGCTATATAAACTTTAATCATTTTAGTAGTTTGATATCTGCATGTTACTCCTAAAAATGAGGTGGTTCATGCTGCCATTATGACAGCTTTGCCCCTGAAAGGAATTCTTGCATGCAAATTTTGTCTTTTTGGGGAGCTAAAGACAAACCAGCAAGGCACAATGTGTAATTGGTTTTATCATTAGTTAAAACACATATAAGAGGAAATAACAAGCATGTATATATTCAGTAATAATATTTTCATGATATTTCTTGTCACATTGCATTCTAGTTTGTAATGGCACTTAAGAAAATGGAAATTAGAATCCAAATCATTGTTTTCTGCTACAATCAGGAAAAATCTATTAGATGTTTCCCTGTAACTTTTTCTTTATATTTCCTTAATTACATATAGAAAGAGAATACATGCAAAAATATCTATTGTCCAAAACTGAGGTCACTAAATGGAGAAATATTTGGTTACTAAAGTTGAATGCAAAAATATAAACAAAAATTTAAAAACACACACACATAAACAGACACACAGGCCCCCAAACAAACAAAAACCCAGAAATACCTATATAGCAACTGTTATGGCTTGGATTTGGGGTGTCTCCCCAAAGCTTACATTTGAAACAATCCAAGAAGATTCAGAGGAAAAAAAATTGTTGTATACAGTTTGTATCTGATGACTGGAGTCTCTCTCTCTCTCTGCTTTCTGATCATCATGTGAGCTTCTTTACACTACACTCTTCTGCCATGATGGTCAGCCTCACATTAAGCCCCGAAGAATGAATCCAACTTACAGACAATGAATTCATGTTTATGAACTGAGACCTCTGAAACCATGAGCCCCAAATAAACTTTTTCTCCGCTAAAATTGTTCTGGTCAGATCTTTTAGTCACAGCAGCAAAACAGCTGACTAAAATAAAAATTGGTACTGAGAAGTGGGGTTGTTGCATGACAAACTGACCTTGTGGTTCAGAAGCCTTAGAATAATAGAAATGCTTTAGATTGTTTTAAGTGGAGCTTAATGGCCAATTCTGGTGGGAGTTCAGAAGACTAGAATGCCAATAGTACTGTGAACAGTGAAGGTGGAGCTCAAAAGGGTTCACAGAATTGAACTCTATTGGAATTTAGGTTAGAAGCCGTTTATGGTATTATTTGGCTGAGAAGTATAACTTTGAAAGTATATTTAATGCAATTGTGAAATTTACATGTGGCAAAATTTTCTTATTTATCAGATTGATAGTATAAGATTCGACTAATATGTTATGCAATAGTTTGGATACATTTAAGTCATTCATATTTACTATTCAGAAGGATTAATTTACCTGTTTAAATGTGAGATGTTTCCAAAATTATAGCAGACAGTTAGAAAAGAATAGAGCTAAGTCATAATGGATAACTTATTTTCATTTTCTAACAGAATGACAGAAAACTTATTCACACCCAATTTTAAATGGATATTACTCACGGCAGTATTTGAAAAGGTCTCTTCATAAAATGCTAGCATCACAGCAAACTGTACAACTGTGTATATCTTTAATAACTGAGAGGCAGATGATGAGAAGAGAACTTCTTTTCCTGTAACCTAGATAGAAAAGAAAAAATATTTTATTTTGTTCCAGGACTTATTCCTCTTACTGAAATTCACACTAACTTAAGAGATGTGTGGAAAGTTCTAACTAAAATAAGATATAATTCCATGCTTACATAATTATATCAAAATTGACTCTGCTGTCATATATAAGTAAAAATAACCAATATATTTTAAAAAAGAGATATGCAGAAAGAAGTGGAAGTATTTGCCCCTTTTAAAATTTTTCCAAAAAGACTCGAATATTCATCTGTCTGGATAGCAAAGTGTCTGTAAGTTGCTAAACTAAGAGGTCTCATGGTTTGAAATTTAGTCTGCCTTAAAGATTAAAGTAAGAATTGATTCAACAATCTATACTAATGTCAAAGATTGCACAAAAGAATAGGTCGGATTTTCTGCAAATGGGAATATATGCCCATGAATATATTTAATCAAAGAAAAACATAAAAGGAAAAAAAAGGAAGTTGATTCTCATTAGTGTAGGGAATCATGCCTCAAAGAGAAACATAATTTTATTGGAAGACACTTTCTCTACTACTGATTTTCCCAGAAATGCCACACTTCTATTATTATAATGCAGACTTCAGCACCTACATAACCTTAAAATATTAACTTTGAATTATATACTAGAAAGAAAAATTATAAATGGATCTTTTCTTACTAGGTTTTTAGATCTTTCCTTACTAGATTTTTTTCACTTATCTCAAGATTCCTGCTTTATAAATAATTGTGACTATAAACAAAACTATATGGAATATTTGTGAAATAATGCTCTTCAAATGAAACATGAGTTTATTTCCTTGAAATATCATAGGTTAACTTTCATACTTAGTATCATCTCTGAGATCAACAATAGTTTGCTTTCCCTATTTTTCCTGTATTTCTATTTATAATATTTATTCAATGAAAAAATATAATATGTATCCTAAATGGTTGAAAAGAAATTCTTTTTCTTTTCTAAAGGGGGATTTCAGATAAAAATTGAAATTTTCTTTTGGTTTTCAGGATGTTTAAATCTTTACAACTTCATTCTTGGTTTTAAATGTTATTGCTGTATTTAATGCTTCTATTTTACTATCAAAGGAATATAGTCATGGTCTAACCCAACAATGACATTGTCTTGATGTGCCTTTAGACCTATTTAGGGGTCCTTGAATTTTCATGAGCAAAACCAAGGGTAGACCAAATGATTCCTAAGGCTCCCTCCATCTGTAGTGATCCAGGACTCTCCATGTGAGCTGCATGAATTTGTGAAGTTTTGCTCTGCACATAGGTCATTGGCTTCAGGCTTGATTGGATCTGATAACTAGCTTCTGTTGCTCTGCTCACCAAACTGTACTCTTCAGAAAGAGCTTATATCCAACTGGTTGAAGAAATCCCTCTATCATCCCTTTGCAGGTGTCCACTTTTTAAGTTATGCTCCACCATGCTGCATCTGACTAAGGGAACATATTTTAAGAGTTTGCATGACCATAGCATACATGCAGACTCGCTCTAAACTGAACAAGATGACAGGAATCTCCACCATCTCCAAGTCTATGAACTTTATTTACCTCTGGGATCTCTTCACTCAGCCCAAGTCTTGGTTTACCTGGACCCCAACCAGGTCCTTTAAATATCACAGAAAACTTATGGAAGAATCCAGGTGTAGCCCAAAATGTAGTCCAAATGTAAAATAAATGGTGGAACTAGAAAAAAATAAAATATACCTATTTAAAATAAGGAAAACATAATGAAAAGGATTAAATATGAATATGTACTATGCTATTGTTCAATATAATTTATATATTTTTCTTCAGTACAGATTTCATGCGTGATTTGATTAACACAGTTTAATATGCAATTACATTCCTTATTGTAATTTGTCCTATGAATTCTGTGTTACTTGTGTTCTTGTCAATATTTCTGAAGTTTAACTCAATTTCAATTTTGAAATAAAAAATAGGACAAATGGTTAGAAAATGAGCAAAGTAAAAAAGGCAAGTTATGAAGTTATGCCTCAAGAGGGATTAACTAGCAGCCTGTATACTCAACATCTTTGTCTAATGACACCTTTTGTGAAGTCTAGCTAAGTGGATATTTGGATTAAACTTGAAAACATGAAAAGATTGCATAAATGTTCAAATATTTAAAATAAAATCTCTGAAATTTCAAAGCCATTTCAGATGATAGACTTCTGAGTATTAAATAGCTCATATTCTGTAACTAGAAAATAAGTTTTTACTAAGAAAAAAAAAGTTCTCTTTGAGTCTCATAGCAAGAATCCACATTCTTTAAATAACTTACATTTGACATGTATAGAAGTTAAATATATGCCTACACAAGGGTGCTCAATAAGTGTTAGCTCTTAGGAATTTTGCTATATATCCCATATTTGCCATAGAAATAAAATGTTCATAATGTGCCATTGGAATAAAAATTGTCCTACAGTATGGACATCAGCTACAGACTATAGAGATAAGTTCCACAGTAACTATAGAAATGTACAAATGGAAAAACAAGTTTTGGCTTTCAGAATTTGTGGTCTTACTGATACTTGCACTTTCTCTGAAAGAATTTAAAGTGTGTGTTTATAAAACTGTATTTCAAAATTGCTTGAAATATTACAATAAGGAATAAGAAGCAATTAAGGAACTACATGGGATTTAATAGATTAAATTTTGAGGACAAAGCAAACATTAGATGGAAACTTAACCTGGGACTTTGTATTCATGATAATACAGAAAAAGTAATGTGTTTAGGAGTTAAAACATACATTAAAATAATTACATTTTTTGTGATTTTTGAAAACTGAACACAATTTTGTTGTATCATTCTGGATGGAAACCATGAAAAATACATGGAGATGTTTTAAAATAGAGTATTTTCTCATTTATTTGGCACAACCCAATGCCTTGAAACTTTTGGATGCCAAAGAAGACCAAAATAAATGATTTGTACATCATCATCATCATCATCATCATCATCATCATCATCACCCTCTATCTAACACAAGTCCATTCCAAGTTGTTTTTGATGCCCCTTGATGATAAGTGAAAAATTTAGCTGTGAATAACTGAATAAAACTAAAACTAACTACATTTTTATACATTTAAGAACTCTTAATTATTCTAACTTGTAGACTTGACCTTTCTGACAATATATGAGAGCATGTGGGATACTAAACCTTGGTGATTTCTAACTAAAGAAAGGGTTTATATAAGGGCAGAGATCTGGTAAATGTTCCTCTCACAGATTCACCAGTGGCTTATAGATGCCTGTGTCTTGCTGCAGCCTGGCTGGCTGGGCAAAATAACCAGGGGGGTGACTAGCAACTTGTGTAGATTGATAAAGCAGGAGTGGGAGCCCTTTATTGTAGGACCGGAGTGATATTTATACATTCCACACAGCTTATCTTAATTAGCATAAACTAGATACAGCAGTCAACCAATAAGAAATCTCCACACTTAATGGCTCGCTGGCATTACTTCACAAACCACTCCCTCTGGCAAAATGCCAGGTGCCATCCAAACTTGTTTACAGACCTTAACATTAACCACTCCCTCTGGCAAAATGCCAGGTGCCATCCAGACTTGTTTACAGACCTTAACATTGTCTGTCTCACTATTGTGCCTCATCAAGACCTAACCATCCAGCTCTTAGTGTAGCTCTCACTGTATACAATAGCAACTCTCTTATTCTGTCTCAAATATGAATACTTTTCCTCAGCAAGAGTGTACATTTCCAAGGCTTGCTACTTACAGATTCATTTATCAAACATCAGCATTGGCACAATCTAGGAACTTGGTAGAAACAGAATTGTAGAACTTAGTCCTGCTGGATGGGGTCTACATTTTAGTAAGATTCTGCTGTGATTCACATGCATGCTAGATTTGGATAGCTCTTTCATAGAGTACAGAGATCAATTGTCTACTTTTTTTTTGTTTTATTTTTAATCTCCACAGTAAGGAAACAAACCCTTTGTGAAGTGAAGGAACAGTAGCTTTCAATGTATTATTTTTAACTTGCTTTAAATCATATAAATCTTATCATTAAAAAGTTTCTTAAAATATTTGTTGTTCTCCTGAGAGTCATATCATGTTCTTAGTAAAGTCTAACCAAGAGAGACAGAAAGAAGTTCAATGTAGTTTAGAAAAGAGATAATTAGCTTTTCTTTTTTGGTGTATGTGTGATAAAAATGCCTTTCACTTAAATGTGAAGGCAACTTGAGACAATCTTTTATGTAAAGAGGCAGTATAGGGTAAATGTTAAATCGAGTCTTGGCATTGGTCTACAACCACCTTGGTTAAGTTCTCAATTGACAAGCTGTGTGAACTTGGTTGAACTAATTAAATCCTGAAGAACTCAGTTTCTTCCACCAGAAAATGGGAATAAAAAGAGCTTCTGTCTCATAATATTTTAGTGATGCTGACATTAAATATTTGTGCCGTGCTATTTGCTGCATGCTGCACATAGTAGAAATTCAGCAATGTTGACTTTTTGTTATTTCAACTTTCTGTGAAAATTTGAAGTAGGTTTGAAAAACAGACCCAACATGAACCTATAGTTTTGTCAGTTACTGAATGCTGTAACCAGTACCTTGTATAGAACTGTTGTTAACTAACCTATTCAGTTCTTTGAGCATTCTTATCTTTTTCTTATTTGTGAGTCCCTAACCCCAGGAGTCTCTGTGATGGTCTGATGCTGACATATCAGAGCCTCACAGACATTCTTGATTTCTCTAGTGCCAACCATTGAAGCTGGTGAACAACCAATACCATATGTCTAACAGAAAACTGGACCAGTCCAACAAGTCTTATCAGGTGAGGTAATGTCAGACCTAACCATTCTGTAATAGTTCTTGACACTTAGGTCTAAGAAGAGCAGGGCAAAGGCCTCATGTTGAATTTCTAACTAGAGACATGCATCCTGGAAGCAAAAATTGTTCTTACTGCAAGATCAGCTTTAATTCTACACGTTACTACTACTTCTGAATACATGAATATATTTCAAGTCTATTCTGAGAAAGAGCATGTTTCCTAAGGAGAAATAATTTTTATAATAGAAAATAGACATATTCAAAAATTCTTATAATGAGTTGTTTTTAAATGTATTTGCCCAATTTTATTCAACTTTTTGCTTGAGTAACAAAGTCCCACTCCCAAATTCTTTTACAGTTAAGCATTTTTGCAGCAGTGTAATATACTTCCATCTTTCAATAACTGATTTTTCTCTTAACTATATATTTATGAAATAATACAAATTCAGAATGAGTATGACCAATCTTATTACCTGCACCCTGAGTGGGTCAAAGGTATTAATTGGATGTGTAAGACCATATATAACTCTTTCTTTCTCTGCTTCAAAAGTCCCTGGAAGACAAACATTACAAGGATATTATCTTTGACATTCTGTGAATAAAGAAGTAAATTTAATTGTTTGATTTTTGTATGTTTCACTTACCAAAAATTCTATCCCAAATGATAAGAGTGCCACCATAGTTTTTGTCTATGCAGTAACGATTTTTGCCTATGAAAGAAAATAATAAACAATAATTTTTCAATAAAAAGGAGCTTTGGCATTTTGAAATATTGTTTTCTTGTTTTTAGAACAAGATTTTAGTGATGCAGACATTTTGTACTATTAAACTAAGATTTAAGTAACAGAATAATGTTTCTGAGAGTATCTTGGGCTTGACGACAACAACAGATTTTTCGAGCAATGGAGTTTCATTTTATTTATTTTCAGTTAATTTTACTAAAAAGAACAAGTTTTTTTTTTTTTTAAATTATATGCACTTTCCACAAATTTCAGTTTAAAAAAATGTAAGATAAATCTACATGGTTATTTTTTCAAGACTACTAATAAATAATTTAAAAAGTAAATGGGTACAGAGAAAACTGGGAAATAAGGAAATAATATATGTATGTTTTTTATTTTTAATTTTTGATGTGTCACATCATTTGTCCTTTTCTCTACATCTGTTTAAGAAGACAATTAGAATAAATCTTGTTTAATTTTAAATAACTTTAATAATTTAATTAATAAAAGACAAAAGTAAAATTTAAATTGCTTTTGGCCTTTTTAATTTAACATATGATGCTTTTCCTTATCCAAAGTACTCAAATTACAATTTGTTTAATATATTTTTAATTGACATGATCATATCATTATGAATACAAATCTAAAAAAGAGTAGAAATCCACCAAGCCACTACTCCAATAAACTTAACTATCTTCACGTGTTCTCATTCCCTGACAAGCTTTTCTTACATGAAAATATACATTTGAAGCATAGATAAAGCAAAAATCTTCCTCACAGCAAAAATAGAATGAGATTGGCAGTAAAGATGCTCAACCCATCACATGGTCTAAACAATGGCTCTCTTTTGGATGAGGGAGTGTTTTGCCCCTCAAAGGACATTTGACAATATATGGACACATTCTTGAAAGATACAGCTCAGAAGGAGCAGCAATGACACCTAATGCACAGAAACCAGTGCCCAGAATAGCCCTCCAACTAAGTATTGGTCCACAATGGTGAGGTTGAGAAACCCTGATAGAGAGCAGTAGAAGTAAGAAAGTGAAGTCAAACAAAGGGAACCAGCAGCTATTTGTTTTTAAATCTAGACTTGTTTTTTTTTCCATTGCTTATTTTTCCTTCTATACATAGGAAACTGCAAGAATATAATGCTCTTGACCTCTCCCCCTCTAACTCTTCCTTGGGAATGGGAGAGTGACAGTTGGATTTAGAAGAGTGTGACCCATTCTCTCCTCTGCCTGTGGGAGCTTGTGCTGCTCTGTCCCCTGTTCTAGAGGAAGGATGTACCTCCCTTGAGAAGGCAGGACTGCAGTGCTCATATGAAACCTGGATATATTAAAAACAAAGCTTAGTATTTATTCCTTTATTATTAGCTTTCTTCTCTCAACATTATGTTTGTAAGATTTAATCATACAATTGAATATAGCAATTATTTGAGCATTTTTATTGATAAAAATGAATTTTCTATAATTTATTTACCTTTTGTACTGCTGATAAACATTTGAATTATTTTTTTTTGCATCACAAATAATGTTGATATGCACATTCTTTATAGTTCTCCTGGTGCACAAATGTAAACATTTCTATTATCATTTAAGTTGTTGTTTCTAAACATTAGGCACTAGCCACGTGGGATTTGCTCCTCTGGTAAATGAAGCTTATATTTAGTTTGTTTATAGGAGTTCAGCAGGAGAGAGGAGTGTGGCTTATTAGACTCTGTACAACTCCCAACAGTTTTCAAGACTAAGTACTCTCTGGTTATAGACAGAAAAGACCTTCAGAACTGAGCCTTCAAGACACTGCTTCAATAGATACAATGTTATCTCCTCAGCTGATTAACACATTTTCCCTCTACAAGGAGACTGAGATATAATAAAGGGAGGAATTCAAGAGCCTGATGGAGAAAGTGCTGCCCCACCACAGACCATGATTCAAACCTGAGACTGATCTAGGTATAACAGAAGAAATATAGCTATGTAGACAATGTGTGCTGACTATATGGGATATTTACATGAATTGAAGCAAGACAAAATAACAATTATAGAATTTTTAAAGAAATAAAGAAGAAATAGAACTTCCTTACCATGATGAACCCTATGATGGCTAGGAGTATTAAGAATCAGTTCCAAAGGACCAAGGTTATTGATGATCTGTTTAAACAAAAGAAATATTTCCACACATAGCTATTATTAAGTGAGTTTATAATATACAAATACATTTAAAACCCACACAGTTGATGAATTATACCAAATTTTGAGGTTGACATTAGAGAATAGGAAGAAGTCTCCTTGTCACCTGGAGTTCAATAAGGAGACTAATGTTTGCACAACTCCATTCCCAGAGGCAGTATGGTAACATGGTGAAGAGCAAGACTGCCTCAGTTCAGTTCCCAAATCCACCACTTATAACTCTGTGATCTTGGAGAAATAGCTTAGATTTTATCCCTTAGTTTTCTCACCTTTACCATGGAAATGACAGTAAGTAGATAATGATATGTTTCTGGGATTACAAAGGTTACTATATTTATGCATCACTATTGGCAAGGAACACTTCCTTCAAGTTTCATGCTACTTTGTTTTTCACTTTTCATCTAAGGCTTTATTTATGTTAGCAGAACATCATTGGGTTGGTTCTACCCTGCAATGAATCATCTAACTACAGTTTTCTATTCTGGTAATTACTGATTATACTAGGGTAATCATGCTTATTCAACTGGAATTCTGAATGGAGTTTTACCTGTAGATGAACCTTCCACAATTCCATCTTACAGGTGTAATTCAAAGTTTGGTTGAAAGTCAAGTAACTTACAACAAGATCTGGTCCCTAACTCTTTAAAGGTCTCTCAACATTTCTCAGGAGGAATACCCTGTTCCTCAGTCCAAAAATCCTGAGGACAATAGAAAACAAATAGGTGCCATTAAAAATGTACAGTAAGCTTTATGTAAGACACTTGATGTGTTATACAAATATTGAGTAATGATAAATCAATTTCTTGTTACGGTATTTCAAAAAATAAAACACCTTTAGAATTATTTTCCACTTAAGTGACTTTTGAGGAAAACAGGAATAAATTAGGTGGTGTTTAAGGGGATGAAATAGCCACTGACAAACAAGACTCTGTTGTGAATTTGGTCACAAGTCAGGAGAGCAGGGGGAAAATAGGGAGATGCTCATGTTTAAGAGAACCAAACATAATATATGAACCCTGTTTGAATACCCACTTGAACAAATCATACATAAAAGATATTTTAAGCAGTGGGAAAATTTTATTATTATCAGAATATTAAATGAAAAAAAGTTTTTATTGGGAGTTAAAACAGGATTTTATGCATGAAAATGCAATTGGTTTTAAGAGTTGTGTAACTGAGGAATACATAACACAAGATCCAAATTTCTTCAAAATATTTTGACAATAAAAATGTAAAAGAGAAAAGGATAATTTATGCAAATAAAGCAAAATCTTGATTTGTGAACAAGAGCAAAAGAGACATAAATTCATTCTGTTTTTCTATTTTTATGAGTGTTTGGAAATATTTAAGATAAAAATTTAAATAAAAGAAATTATACTATTTTAATATAGTGTAACATGCACAAAGCCAATTGAAAGTATCCAATAGATCTCCAAGTTCCAAACCATACCTCCAAATCGAAACTCTTTATCTACCTGGGTTTAATTATTTTTTGGCAAGCTCTTACTTTAGAACACCAAATTTACACTTTCTCTGTAAATGTCAGCAGCTAGGGTGGCCACAGTGTCCTTAGTTTGTGGCCTCCTGTACCCTCTTAAAGTGGAAGCCGTAACAATGCTGCCATAGAGTAGCAGGCATCCTTCAGAACCTTCAGATGCACAGGTGCCACCAACATGTCCCTATTGTCCCACTGTTCCCAGATATGAAAGAGACAGTCTTTGCCTTTTGCTCTGCTGCCCAGCTTTTAAGGGTTTCTCAGTTTCTATTACTTACTGGACAGACTGTCTGCCTGCAGGGTTAAAAAATAATAATATTATGTACTAGATGATAGTTGAGTTCTCTCTTTGCTCCCCACTGCTCCCTTTTTCTTACCTGGAGTCTCATTCACCATTTTAAAGTTATTTCTATGAGAAATGTATTCTGAGCTCAAACAACAGACTTTTTAAATAATTCATAGAATAAGATCTCTTTTGTATACCAAAGACCATCCGTATTTTTAAATTTTCAATAGTTCAAAATATTGTGAACATATATCTCATTTCAGACTATATTCCTATGAAATAAGGCAAAAAGTATCTCACAAATACTATATTAATGACTGGGAGTTGGGAAAGGGTTATATAGAAATTGTATTACATTATGCTCATTGGTGGAAAAATATTTGTAAAGAAGAATGGTAGTGGACAGAGAACAAGAAGGTGGGGGTTCCTCAGCAGTTGGAACATTGAAATCTGATGTTTTGGTTGGACTGTGTATCTCTGGCAGACAACCAGATGTAAAAGGAGAGAGCCATTTTATCCTTGTTTGTCTCTTTGGTGCCTAACATGTGTTACAAAAACAAACAACAAAAGCGGGTGGAGGGCCTACGCTGACCAGCTCCTGCTACCCAGATGCAGCTCTGATCCTTGGTCCTGGCATGTCTGCAGCCAGATTGAAAGCCACACAAAGGGTGAGTGCATTCAGATGACTGGAGCCTTGGCTGAGGGCATTATTATTATTTTTTTTAATGTCGAACTCTTCCTTGGAGAAATTTTTTTGCTCTTGCAGGCAAAAACATGGTGATATCAATATTAAAAGTCCCCCCCCTCCATTTTTTATTAAAAGCCAAGTATAACACTGTTAACCACAGTTAAATTTCCTGGTAGGGCCTATGAGTACCTTGGAGCTTGAGAAGACCACCTCAGAGGGGGATATGATTCATCAGTCAGACAGCTGGGTCAGAACCCCTCATGTAGAAAACCCTTCTGATTCAAAGTCATGGAGAATTCATTAATATTTAATAAGGGTTGAGCGTAACGATTTAATTATCGCCCACATTTGCAAATTCAGCCATTTAGTAATTCAACCACATCTAGCTTGAATTCACTTCCTGAAAATGTTACTCTGGGAATAATTGCAGCTATTCTTCTTTGTTAGAAAAAAAGTTATTTATTTGTCTTTATTAGATTTAGATGTGGAGTTCATTTAAATTATGGGCTTTTAGAACATATAGGGATCCTCAACATAGTATTATTCAAGAGTCTATTTTAAAAAAAGTGTAAAACTGAAACTCAGAAAGGTTACCCTACAAGTATATAGTAAATAGCAAATATATTATTAAATGCCTATTATGAATTTTGGTTGTAATTTTTTTTACCATTATATAGTTCTCAGGTATTTTCTCACTCTCTGCCCTATCTGAAAAAACAAGCTTCTGTAGATCTTTCTAATTTAAATCGAAAAAAAAATTAGACTAGAACTCTATAAAACCTCAAGTTAATTATTCTAAATAAGTTTACTTTTATAAATTATTTCTTAAGAAATTAACCTCTTTCATTTTGTGTAATTTTGAAATATGTAAAAAGAATCTTTTGATTAGAAGACATTGACTGGGCTAGATTTCTGAAGCCCAACAGAAAGTATCAAAGCAATAATCTAATCTAATGATTGAGTTACAGGGCAAAACATGATTTTAAGAAAAGTATTTTGATAATTCAAAGCAAATTATTTCAATTGTTAAATTTGCTCAAAAATTTGCCTTGTCTCACTTTAATCTGACAACTGAGGTTGGAAAAGAGACTTTCTAAATCTAATAATGAAATGTGTAGCTGAATTCTGTTCACAAGTTTTAGAAGAATAATGGGAATATCACACAATATTTCTATCCTTTGTTTTTTCATCTGCTAATGATTATGAAAAAAGCTAAAATATGTTGAAAAGTCATATCAGTATTTAAAAGTGCTTACTTTTTAGAAAGAAGTTATGAGCTTATAGTTAATTGTAAAGTTAACTCTAAATAAGAGATTCCTACAAATACTCATGTTTCCTTTCTGAGAGGGAAAAATCTAATCAGGACAATATGTCCTGAGATGCTTTACTAGAATTCTTATTATAACAGTGAATGTGCAAACAATATGACTGAGGTGTGACTGGGTTGAGGGTGACGTGAAATGAAATCTCCATTGCAGGAAAAAATGCCTGCATTCAGATGAGCACAGGTTAGAGTGATGACATTGGTGACATTGACTACAACCAGTCAAGAGTTTCTTTACAGCATCGTGTATGATTGATGTTCCAAAAAGTACTACACCACTGTGGGTCTCCTTGTTTCAGTGCAGTCGGTATGTAAGAGAAACACTAAGCCAGTTACTAATACATTTATCATCTAAAATAAAAATCATTGTCATACAGGATTTAATTGAGAAAGATATGCCTCGAGAACAGTTCAAAAGTGGCAAAACTGTCAGATGAGAACAGTGACAAGATTCTGTGCAAGCCTAAACTAAGATTAAATGGACTAATATTTAAACCATGATTAGCTGACTTTTTCTTGGCCAATCTTCCCACTTCCTTTCCTATTCTTTCTCTTTCTCTTTGTCTTCCTTCTTTGTCTCTCTCTCTCTCCTGTTTTATTCCTTTATACATCTAACTCAATTATTTTTATAACTACCTACCTAAACATGTTTATGTGCATGTATAAAAATGTAGAGAATCTTTTCTTTGGAAATATATCCTTTACTACAAGCTCATATATATCTTTTTGAAAAGTGAGTGGTTGTAAATATTTGTTTTTGAAATTTATTTGTTATATATATATATATATATATATATATATATATATATATATATATGACAATAGATTATATTTTGACATACGTATACGTGGAGTATAAATTTTACTAATTAAGATCCCATTCTTATGGTTATACATGATATGGCGTTTCCCTGGTGGTGTATTCATATACGAACATAGGAAAGTTATGTCAGATTCATTCTACTCTCATGAATCATTTACATGGTTCATTGTAAATATTTCTATGCCATTTCAATAATATATTCCTATATTTAGCATAATTTATAGAGACTCTGAATAACAAAAATATTAATGTAAATACCTATATTTATCCTTCTTAAATATATTTATCATACATGTTAAATATTAAATATATACTCAAATTCCAAAGAGCTATTTTAAGCAACAA